GGAAAATCAGGTAGTCCTTTATGTCATCATGACTGTCTTGTGACAGTATATTAGATACTGATTGTTGTACTGCATTTTCATCAATTAATTGTCTCTCAGTAAGTAAAAGTGATCAAAAATAATTTGAAAAATTGTACAGTCATTAGATAAAATTTTCAAAATATTTTTCTAGGTTCAGAATTTTTATCCAACGTAAGAAGTGTTTTGTAATCTCAGTACTCTGCTAAATGATACACGCGATAAGAATTAATAAAAGCTTCTTTTAACTGCAATGTCCATTCACTTTTCAATTATATCTTATTTGCTGAAATTTCTAATGGACATACTGTCTAATAAAATACAGGATAATGATTTCCTGTGTATTCCTATTACTAGTATTATCAATAAAATCTCATTATTAGGAAATATTTTTCTGGAATAAATAATAAAAAAATCCTTCTCGTGGCCTAGTTATGTCAATAAGCCAGTTAACAAACATGAGTGTCTTGTTCAAAATCATGTCTTACAGGAACAGAAGAAGTTTTTCACATACGTAGAGTGTGTTTAATGCTCTAAACCTTATCTGATTTTTAGGAAAATAATCTAATGAAAATATGAAATTGTGAAGTTAGTTTACATTAAAAAGCGTAGTCCTGGTGTAACTTCTAAAATAAAAATAACTGTCATGGTTACTAATTTTTTTAGAAGAGAAGCTGTGGGTTTAAAAAAATATAGAATCTGGAGGATGACTCTGTTTTTCTTCTGTTCTTCTTTCAGTCTCAAAGGTTGCCATCTTAAAATATTTCTCTCCTTTCTTTGTGTATTTGTAAAGTAAGGCAGCCTTTTCCCAAAAACCAGTATTACAAGAATTTTCTAAATATTAGTCTCTCACAGTTTTCAAGGATTGAAAATTTATAACAGTGGAAGAAGGAACTATAATTAAGGTACTTTGTCAGAGGTGTCCTGTTTTATTAGTAATAGTGAATTTTCATTCTAGATTTTCGAAGGAGGAAGCAGAGAGGGGACCAATAAATACGAAGGGTTATCATTCAGTTACTATGTTGTTATAAGCATCAAGAATTAGGTGGTTGCTTTTAAAATCTAAAATTGACAGCATGAAGAGTTAAATCATATTGGGAGACAATCTATTGGTGGTGGTAAGTGGAGGAAAAAGTACGAGTATGTAGGTATATTTTCCAAAAATTATGAAAAATTCAACAATACCTGGGGTTTTTTTTCAAAATTGGCAAGTAATTTGATTTTGTGTACTGTAGTAAGGTTGATTTAAGACACAGAGTAGATGATTGGGTAATTGATCTGAAAATTAAAGAAGAATATATCGTATGAGAAGAAAGTTATTCGGTTTATTCTATAAAATACGCTTTTAAAAATGTCTCTATGTAGAGAACAGCACAAGATTCATGTTACTGATCCAATGAACAGTAGTGCATTTTAAATTAATGTAGCTGAAAATACCTTTGATGAACAATATTTTTGAGTGATACACTCAATTTTTGAGTAAACAAAGTGGTTGTAAACATAACATTAATATGGACTTGGTCACAGGTATATAACAAGCTCCTATTTTACAAGACAATTTTAGTTTTCATATTAAATTTCTTGCTTACAAGAAATCAAACAAGGAAATTAACAGGAAAAAGCTTAAGTGTTTCATTGCAAATTCATAATATTTTTGGCAAGGCAAACAAATGAGCGGTCTTCTCATCTATACAAACTACTCTAGGAACATATTGGAACACCAGTGGCACATAGCATTTCACAACCTGATGAATGCTGACTCGTCCAATAATCACTGAAGAAATCCAAACGTGAATTTAAAATTACATTTTCTTATCTTTTGTCCTCATTACAATGCATTTATAGTTCTTCCCTAGAAGAAAACTTTCAAAGCTTAAATCTTGCAATAAAAACTTTCCAAAGTTACACAGTAATAAAGAAATGGAAATTCACATTTGTATTATTTTCCAAAAGACTTGTCTGTCTATATTTCAAGCAACTCACATATTCAGAGCCTTATGGGAATATTGATATAAAAGCATTCCATCTAAAATAATATTTTCTCCGGTGTATACATGTAGCCATATGCATTTTCAGTGAATTGTATGGAACAATTCACAAAATGAAGAAATTGAGATACAGTACATTACATTTGCGGATTGTGCTCTTGCTATTTAAAAATGATCTTTTGTCTTTTAACTGTGATTTTACTGTATGTGTCTTCCAGATGTGTGGAGGTGATTGCCAAAGAAGGCCGGAATTTGAAGGAGCTGTATTTAGTATCCTGTAAGATCACCGACTATGGTATGTAATATACTTGTATCTTTCTTTTTGTGAAGATTAATCTGTACTAGCTTTGCACAGGGACTTTTATACAAAGTGTTGGCAATGTGCAGATAAAAAACTTCAAAAACTTTATCCATAAAAATAAGAAATGTACCAAAAGTGTTTGACATGCTTACAGATATCCGTGGTTGGAAGTGTGAAAGTCAGTGTACGTATGTGCAGAGCTGGCAGTTATGGGGCAGACTGAGCAGAGTGCCCTTTGAATTGTCCTGGAGACCAGGAGAGCATCTGAGAGAAAATCCAAAACCACTTGTGCATTTCTAGGTGCTGTAAAAGCACAAGTAACTAGGAATGTGAAGTGATTGCCTCTTGTAGGCCATAAAATTTGAATGAACTTGATAAGCCCTTAAAAATGCTGTTATGATAAAATAGAGAGGAGTACCTTAGGAATTAGGCTTTCTGTCCGATAGGCCCCATAGAGAGACAGAATTTGTATTTAGAGTAGGAGAACTTCTTAGCACCTGAGTGTATTTGCAGAACACAGCTTTGTTTGATCTTGGTTTGTCTTTTGTCAAATAAGATATTGTCCTCGAGGAAGACACGTATTTCTGCAAGAAGGCCAAATTTGTCAAACATCTGTCTGCCACTTAAGTGCCTAAATTTCAGTGGTATATGCAAACTGTATCTTCAAGCTGTGCGTCTCAGGTTTCCTGATTGTTTTGTTTCTCATTCACTCTTTTTTTATTTTAACTTTTTGCTCCGTAGCTTTTATAAAGATTTAGTATGTCAAAGTGATAAATTACCTTTCCAGTGGTCAGAAAGTCATTCCTTTATTTTCCCCTTCAGATTCTGCACTTCACTGGGGTTTGCATGGGTGCATTCGAGGGTATTGTTGGTCTGCAGAGTTGGGCTCGCCTCATGTCCACGTTATTTGAGCATGAGCTCACAGTACAGCTGTAGCCCTTTTGAGAGCTTTGGGGCTTGGCAGAGGAGAGGGAGCGTGGGCCTATGCCACCGTTTTCTCTGGTCTGCAGTTGTTTGTACTTCCATGTGCAGAACAGATCTTGCCAAAGTTGAAAACATAGATTGTCTTGGCTTGACAGTGCTTGGCCAAAATTAATTTGTGGATTTGTGAAATGGGAATGGTCTGCTGGAAATTCAGCGAGAGGAATTGTCTGTAGAGCAAAAAGTGATGATGAAGGTGCTTCTTGTCACTGCTGTAGGGTCAGAGGTGCAGGGCCTCAGCTGGAAGTGAGACTGTCCATTTGTGCATTAGAGTTCTGCTACTTGTACTTTTGTCCTTTCTGACTTCAGCAACCCAAGTAGAAATAATTATCGTGGGAATAACGGAACCCACATCTTGAGGATGGGTAATTTCTCAGACTGATTTCACTCTTCATTTGCTGCACTTACTGAGAGGAAAACAGGATTTCTCCCAAAAGCAGGGAAACACACAGGGAGAGACTGAAGCAAAGAAACTGAGGATAAAGTCTTGCTTATGAAAGAATGGAGAGAGGGGAAAGAAAGTGTCCATGGCTAGATAAAAAGCGGGAAGTGTGTTACACGGAATGAATGCATGGAGAATATATGTAGACTTTGGATTATTAGCTTGCCAATCACAGTCATCCAACCTGAGCTTCTGTTGACTTCTGTGACTAAGGCTAACCTGTCACTAATGTGTTGGGTTCTGCAGTCATTCAACATTACTGCAGGCAGTTTGGGAGTTTGAGAACATTTTCAGTTGATAGAGTTGATAGTAGGTTTTACTATTCACTTAAAAATTTGACTATTTATGCTACTAAGGATCAGTAAAACATCCAGCAAAACAGCTGTAATACCGACTTATTTCTGATACATTATGGAGACTGATTGATTATCATTATAATCTTCAGCATATCTCAGCATGCCAGCCTGACAAATATATTCATCTGCTTGTGTTATCAGAGCTGCAAATGCAAAATAAACTGTAGCAAATTTATAAGCATAATTTATGCTTTGTAAGGAAGTAAAAATTTAGCATGAGATTAAAAATGTAATAGCAAGTGCATATTCATTAGGTCAACAAGAGTGTTGCAGGGTGGAGCCAGGCTTCACCCTTTTGCTTTATTCCTTTTTCATTTATTTCCTGGTACTTCAGTGGAAGACTCCCACATTTTCTTGTGGTGCTGTTAAGTTAAAAAGTGAGCTCCTTACAGTGCTGCAAGCTCAGTTTGTTGTTGAACTTCCTTTATCCAAGAAGCTGCCTCTCTTCTACAAAGGGAAAAGAGCAGCCTTCCTCAGAAGATTTTCAATCCATCATGTCCTCTACACCTTTGTATTTGTGGCAAGTAGAGGAAATCAACTGAGAAGCCTGACTTCTTGTGGGATCATTCAGGTGGTGTCCCATGGTCTGACAAAGACTTAAAACTTCATGTGTGTAGTTGTTCAGGCTCCACCAAGAAATGTCTGAAGCTCTGTGGGTCCGTGACTGGGTGGGAGCTTAGAGCCATACTCAACTATGCTTTTTGTTTGATAATCCTGAGGGTGAGACACATAATGGTCCTTGCTTTGGAAATTAAAATCTTGACACCAACTTTAAATGGGAACTGTACACATTTTCACTGGATATTTAAAACATACCTAGAGCTGGTAACCAGATTTCTTGCAGCTTGATGCAGTACAGATGCAGGATTTTGAAAGCCCTCTTTGAAACTGTTCAACAACAATTTTTGATGCTACCGAAGTTAGCGGAGTTTTGATGTCTGGGACAAGCTCATTATTGCTTAGCAATTCAGCTGGGAAAAAGAAAGTAATATTGGTAATTTCCAACAAAATCTGTAATCATTTAAGACATTAATTAAGCAAAAATAATAAGAATTATTGCAATAAATAAAGAAAATAATTACAGGAAAAAATTTTATTTTTGCCCTGCAATGAATGCTATAGGTATGTATGTGTGAGATAGTTTCATGCCCTCTAGCAAAGACCATGAGGTGTGAACTGCATTGTGTTATTAATTCCACTGTTTTGTTTTCCAATTTCTACAATAATGCAGTATGTAAAACTACCAGACAGACATGCTTATATGCAATTAGTATTTTTAAAACACACTAAAAGACTTAATTTTATTTTGAAGCCTAAAAGATTAATTAAAAACCCCTTTTCCATGATAATGTAGCCATAGGCAGCCTTACTTTCTTTGATACTTTCCTGCCCAGGAAAAAGTTCTGTTATGTTATACAAAAACAGAGACAGAAGGATTCATAGAGGGCTCGAAGTATGTGTACATACTAAGAGTTGTTAACTTGTGAGAAAAAATAAATATATTGCTCTATAACATGTTACATTACAAAAAACCCCTTCACCATGATAATGTAGCCATAGGCAGCCTTACTTTCTTTGATACTTTCCTGCCCAGGAAAAAGTTCTGTTATGTTATACAAAAACAGAGACAGAAGGATTCATAGAGGGCTCGAAGTATGTGTACATACTAAGAGTTGTTAACTTGTGAGAAAAAATAAATATATTGCTCTATAACATGTTACATTACAAAAAGGTTAGTTTTGTCTTTTTCTGCATAGAAAAAAGTATACTTTGTTTTCTTCTGAAAAATTTATAGAATGGTATCTTTATTTATGTCTGCCTAGAAGAATTTTCTAAAAATCTACTTTTAATTAATGATATTTGTTAGAGGGTAACATGCTAGGATGCTGAAAATGAGTTGAGAAGTTTCTTTACATCCAGCACATTGTTAAATGCTAAATAAGTGACAGAGTGAAGTTAAACCTGACACTAGTTCCTCATATCATTTTGCCCTTTTGTTAAACAATCATGAATTAAACATGGATTGTCAATGTTGTCTTTGAATTTCCTGCCTTTTGTTGATTTGTGTCACAACCTTAACTTTACTTAAACATAGGGGGTTTTGTATTTAAGCTTTTACTAAGAACTAGTAAGAAAGCTAGGCTTTCTCCGCTGTGGAGAGACTGTGTGTCAAATGAATTAGGTTGATGTGAAGATGTATAGCAGTGAGCAAGGGCAGCAAGCACATACAGAATTGTGTAACTGTCTTTTCAATTTTATGCTCTAGTTCTGGGTTTTATTGATATCCTTAGTGCTGGGAATTTGTTTTAAGTAAATTATTACTCACAAAGTTTGTAATGGTGCAGAGTGCTATGCGCTCTGAAACACAAAAATGAGATTTTGTGTTCAGAGATGAAAAGATGTGGTGAAACTACCCTGTGAAACAAGGCTAGATTTTTTAAGGGTCGAATCTTACAGTAATGTAAGTGTAAATTTACTAAGAATTACTTAAAAAGTAAAAGTTTCTAATGCTTTACTTCCACTTTAGAAAAGTAGTCAGATCAGTGTTTTTTGTCTGTGCATGCAGGAAGTCGTTTCAAGGCAAGATTTAAATTGTAGGCTTCCACTGAGAGAAAAAAAATAAAAATAAAAACAAAAAAACCAAACCAAATCAAACTCCACCACCCCCAAAAAAACCCTGAAAAATAACTTTTGAAAAAAGTGAGGAAGGAAATGTTCAAAATCAGCACTTTTGACAGCTGCGCTGTGAGAAATTTCTGAAAAACCAAAATACCCAAGCTGCCATTAATAAGAGTGCGGTTAGCACAGTTCAGGGAATATGTTTATCTCATAATTATTCCTGTCAAGTAACGTGCAGGAGATGACAGTTATCTGGATAGTTGTCCTGTAGAATTTCCATTACCTAGAGGTTCTGGATTTTACCTGACTTAAAAAGTCTCTATTTCCAGCTGTAAAGTAATTGTAGAAAGCTTTTCAGATTAAATGCTTGGCACAAGGACCTGAGATGAACTGTGGTATTTTGCTGATAGCTTTCAGATTCTGAATATTGAAAAAGAGTTCTCTAAACAAGTAACCTTTTTGTTTTCTAGAATTATGAGTATTCCTTTTTCGTATTGCCTCTTTTCATCATTTACTTATACATTTAGTGTCTCTGAGGACACATGATTTTTTTTAAAGATTTTTCTTTTGTGAGGATGTTCGCTAAAGCAGAAAAC